CTGAGTGTAAATCTTGACAGTTTTTTAATATTTGCTCTTTTGGAATATTTTTTAACTTGCTTAGATCATAGAGAAAACCAAAATTTTCAAAATGTTAATTTAAAGACATAAATCCCGAATCCATATTGCTTATTATAGAATCAATCATGGTGTTAAAAAAAAATCTGTTTCATACCGGCTTTTGGGAGACTGTATAGGTTGATCGCTGCCTTCATCATCGAACATCCTTTTCTTTTTGGCTACCCTTTCGTTTTTAAAGTCTTTTGGCAGTTCATAACTGCTATTCTCAATAAGTTGACGAGCGTCAGACAAGCATTTTTCGAATCCAGTTTGTCGATATTCTTTGATCCAGTCACAAAATGTACGCAAATGTTCAAGAGCATTGCTTAAATGAACTTGTAAAGATTGCCATAATTTGTTTATGATATTAACACGCGATAATATCTCATACCCTACATGTAATGATATGATAAATTCTAAACTGAGCATTTCGTTTAAAACCGAATCATAATCACTGAGTGTGTCTGATTGTTCCGTTTGATTTTTTAAGCTTTCGATGCATTCAACATCAAATTGCAGTAATACGGCCTTCAATCCCTCGATTCTGCTTTCTCACCTTGTCTCTGATAAAGGCTTCAAAGTAAGCTTTAATTTGCCTTTGATTAATTCCCAGCGTTTGCTGGAACTTGAAAATAGCAAATAAATTTTCTGAATAAAACCAAAAAATGTTTTTGCTTCCACAGAAGAATTAGCTGCGTCTACCAACAGTAGATTCTAGCTATGACAACCGCAAAGTGTAAAAAATGCCTGCGATTAATATTTAATATTCGAGTTTTAACTCCACTATTTACGGGATACTTTACTGCCATACTTTGATTGACTTTCTAGCTGTTGAGAATCGTGAAAGTAACGTAAACAAACATAATTGGAAATCCCCAGCTCTGGCTGGCAAGGATTCCCCGCGATAGCAACCCAACGCCAGCAAATGTTGCTAGACAAATAAAAACAAATTTGGTCAATATATTTATCGTTTTATGACGAGTAAAATTTTTTCGTTGAGTTTACGGCTTTTATGTAATGCATAAACCTTCGAAGCGCGAGGCCCCTCGGACAGCGAGGCCGTAGGCGGTGGCCCACATCGCCCACGCCTTACGCCGCCTCTGTGTTGCAGAACACTAGCCTTTACCTAGAACCTTCAGGAACTGAGGTTAGCTCTTCTACAGGAGTGATAGCTGATTCCAGAAGATTTAATTAACACACTCATCTTAAGTAACATGAACAGACATTGCAAGTTTATCCATTGAAAAGCTAGTTACACCACTATATAAAACTATGAACATTTATTGATTTATNTTACGGGATACTTTACTGCGATACTTTGATCGGCTTTCTAGCCGTTGAGAATCGTGAAAGTAACGTAAACAAACACAATGGGAAATCCCCAGCTCTGGCTGGCAAGGATTCCCCGCGATAGCAACCCAACGCCAGCAAATGTTGCTAGACAAATAAAAACAAATTTGGTATGTCAATATATTTATCGTTTTATGACGAGTAAAATTTTTTCGTTGAGTTTACGGCTTTTATGTAATGCATAAACCTTCGAAGCGCGAGGCCCCTCGGACAGCGAGGCCGTAGGCGGTGGCCCACGTCGCCCACGCCTTACGCCGCCTCTGCTTATAAATGAATATGGTATTTTTTATGGAAAAAATCAACGATTAGAACGGAGTGCTGTAACTGGTAAGATTATAAGGTGGAATAATCAATAAAATAAAATATAAGGCGACTTAAAATATTTAATGCTCGATATTTTCTCACTTTAAAAATGCTTCTGGAAATACTTTCTGGCTAAGAACTTCAACAATTCCAAAGTTATGTCAAAGTGTAAACAAGAAATCATAATACAGCGACACTTTAATTAACGGACACTCCCGAATACTTAGCGGGCATTTTTACAATTCCCAGATCCTTCAAATAGGACCTCCTAAATAATGGACGCCGTCGTCCGTAACCAACCTTACGAAAACATAAAGTCCCGCTTTCAATATTCTGAAATAAATTACGTACGAAATAGTTTAAAACTAAAAGAATCGGTTCAAATACTCTTTCGGAGGACGAATTTCGACCGTAGGCGTGGAATAAAAACGCTGAAAATAGGAATGCGGAGAAGGTCGGTTGTAAAAAGTCGAACAGTACTTTTTATCCGCTAGAGAAGACTACTCTGGTTAAGTTGGCAATCATCGCTTATCGTCATACACATTGTTATTAATCTTCTGTCTTCTTCTTGGAATTAAGCTTACGGTACCGAGAAACCACAAACTTTTTCCGAGTTATTCATTCATTCGACGAGAACCGTAGTACAGTAGTAACGAGAAAGTAACTCAAAACGGTTACGGCAACAGCGTTTATTGTGGCGCGAAGGTCGTGTTACGAAGGCGTTTTGCCAGCCACGTTAAAGTGTGAGATAATATTCGATATTCTGGCATTTACTACGTCGTTTATGATCTTAACAGTTTTGTGGGGCTTAGGTGTAATTTTGTTAAATAAATCATTTAGTAAAAAAAGAAAAATGTTCGAAAAATTACACCTACTCGATAACTACAAAGAAGACAAATCTCTATATCGAGTCTTATAAATGAGGATATAAATGCAAGAATATCGAACGTATTTCCCACCCCTGGAAGTGGCTAGCAAATCGCCTACGTAACTCGATATTCGAATTCTGCCTCACCGTCTGTAACAAGTTTTATTTTTCTTTGTCGTTTTCTGGCGAATTAATTTTTAATCAACGTTATTTACATTTTATCGTAATTTTTGTGCGCCATTTAAAGTTTGCTATTTAGAACTCAATTTAAATGAGATTTTTACAGCCAAAAAGATAAATACAGTAATATACTGTATACACCCGGTATTTTAATTATATATGCTACGTGTACTGTCTCTGATAGAAAAATATATACTGATATTCCCGACATCGATATTAAAAATCCGTTTTTGTGTGACAGGGACAGCCTGCCCTTAAATACTTTAATATTTTCCACAGTACTGTTGTCGTCCTTTATGCGCTTGCTTGCCTTAAAAGTTCCAAAATAAAATTAGAAAAAAATGTCCATAAATAAATAATTATATTGCAGTTGTGGGGAGAAGGTAACATTTGCAATGTTTATTAGTCACTTTTTAGCACATTTACCCAACAAATTACAAAAATGAAGTAATTTATATTCTTTAAAGAGATAATCAGCTGAATTTCCCCCATTCTTACATCATCATTAATCTATTTTCAGTTCTACCAAAGAACACTTTTGCTCTGTTTTTCACAACTGCGCATTTATTGATTTATCAAATTCAATTGTTGATTGAAATGTTGTATGACTTGTGTGACTTTACTCTGATTACATTTTTACTTTAGAGGAAAAATGTAATTATTTTCTGTACAAAATGATGTTTCCTCTTATTCTGTTTAACAGGAAAACATTAATTATCCAGTTCATCTGCATGCTTGCAGTTTTAACATGTTGGAGTTTTTATTATAGTTTAAATCATGATTTAAAAAAGTATAATTAATATAAGTAAAAATGGTTTATTGGAATAAAAAACAAGTGTAGGTTCTCTATTAACTTTTAGATCACTTGAATTCATCTTTAAGGAATGAAATTCTCAAAAATTACATAAAATGCAATTTGTTTGTGAATTTTATTTCTTATGAGCTTGGGAGTGCAAAATTATTAAGGAACTGATGTTTATTATTATTCTTTCAAATTCCTTCAAAATTTTATTAAACTATATAAATGAATTTTTACTTGATCATTTTGCTTGATCTGATTAGAGGGTACATCTAGGCTCTGTCAACCAGGGCAAACTAAGATCTCAGTCATCCTCTCTTGTTCAGAGGTTTGAGATGCCAATGATATATAATGAATCAGTCTGTGCCACTGCTAGAATACTTTTAACTTGCATAATAATTTATCTTTTTCAATTTATAAATACAATAGGAAATGCCACTGGACAATTGATTTCCTCCCCAATTCAAAAAAAAAAAGAAAAAAGACTCTTAAAAACAATAATAAGATGAAAAATATACATTTAACAAACAAATGCACAGAAAATATAGTAAGGTAAAACAGAATTACAAATAAAATAATGAATTAGAAGACATCAAGAGAAAATTACATGTTAGAGTAGGTGTTTACATATGTATTTAAAATGTAATGAATCAAAATGTAAAAATTGTTCAGCATTACAAATGCTTTGAGAAAGATGATAAAAATAACACCTGATAATTTCCAAATAATTTTCTAAATAATTACACACACTTTCCTTTTGGCACTCTCCTTACTTGGCACCTGGAGCACATGCCTCACCTGCCTCCTACTTGCACCCCCAATCTGATATATAATAAAATGTATAAAAAATTGTGAAATTTATTTCTAATGAGCAATTATTTATTGTGACGTCGTCACTATGTTGGGCTGCAATTTTTAATCATATCTTTAATTTATTTAATTTAAAATTTATACTGTCCATCTCACATTAGTAGTGTGTTGCCCCTGTACATTATACTTTTCCTTTAACTATAGAACTGTGCCAGTCATCTATCTTTAGATAGATGACTGCCAGTCATCTATCTAAAGATAGATGACTGGCACAACTCTATTGTTAAAGGATAGATGTATATACTCAATACTAGTATTCTCAATAAATGATACCTTTCGGGGGAAAATTTTCGAATTGAAATAACACGACTTCCAGTTTGCATTGGAAGTTCATATATAGTTAATCAGGGCTTCCTGTCCCTAAAGTTTCCATATCTGATCTCATATTTCATCTATCTAACTCCATTTGCAAGATTAACGAAAGACAGGCAGACAGTCACTGGAAATTTATAGTTGGTCTACAGTTTTTCAAATTGCAGCCCAATAATGGCTCTCATGTAAATCAACTGAATTGAAAACTTTTTGCGAGATGATATTCTTTTCCATTTAAATTTGGAATTTTTTTTCCAGAATAAATGCTTTAAATATTGGCCAGATAAGGGAGAAACTAAAGAGGCTGGAAAAATAAAGATTAAAAGTTTAGCCGAATCGGCTACTGTCGATTACACTTTGCGAGAATTTCAGGTTACTAAAGAAGGATGGGTAAGTTTAAATTTTTAATTCATAATTAAATATCACAATGTGCATTAAGATAATAAGATAATATGTAATTTTATTTTATTATTATTTAAATTTACTTAATTATCTATGAAGAAATTGAATCTGTAAAGGCAGGTAACTTTTTTTGGAGGCTTATTGTGCTTATTCATATACTGTAATACATGGGCGATCTGCTGAGGGGAAATGCCTCTCAGTGGTCTTTTTATGGAAAACTGGCCCCTATTTAGGTGTTACTAACGTGCAAAAAACCTGGAAAACTCCATGTGGCCAGCTTGTTGGCAAGGTACGATGACCAACTGCTGGTGTTCGGTGGTTTTATTCAATTGGTAGGTCTTTTTGGAGGAAGATGACTCATTAAATAAGGAAATTTTACTGTTAACAACTACTAAATAAAATAGCTTTGAAAACTTTTTTTATAATAAATAAATGATTTGGCTATCATTAGAATCAATTTACTGGAGTTACTGAATTAAAACATGTAACTTTAAAAGAATAAAAGTATAATCACATAAACATATATCAGAAAACTGGATTAATACTTGGCAAAATTTAAGATAAATTTTATTAATAAAATTATATACTGCTGGCCATCCAAAATGCAACACCAAGAAGGACCAGAGATATCACAGCCAAATTTATTTGGGAGATAACACGTTGTACAAAGATCAAATGGTTGAAAATACAGTCTCTTGTGACTTGAGGAAGATGATGGAATCAATATGGAGTGTTGTCGCCATTGCTGGCTATAACCGCTGCTACACGCCTCGGCATTGACTCAAAGAGACTTTGGATATGATGTTGGGGTATAGCATTCCATGCTGTTTCCATAGATTACCAAAGTTGATATGGTGTAGCAGCGGGGAGTGTATCCCGGGCCAGTCGTTCTGCAATCATTGACCAGACGTTTTCTATAGGCAAGAGATCGGGAGAACAAGGAGGCCAAGGCAGCAATGCAATCTGATGGGTGAAGAAGTCTTGAGCAATGCGTGCCACATGTGATCGTGCATTATCCTGTTGGAATGTGACCGTTGGCAAGCTCTGAAGGTATGGGAGAACAACAGGCTCCAACACCTCAGAGATATAGCACTGGCTGGTCAGTATACCAGCAACGCGTACTAGGGGGGGAGTGGAATCCAATACCACCCCAAACCATAATACCGGATCTAGGAGCAGTATGACGATGCATAAGGCAACAGTTCAGCAGTCTCTCACCACAGTGTCTCCAGACACTAATCCGACCATCGTGGTATTGCAGACAGAAGTGGGATTCGTCAGTAAAAAACAATGTTGTTCCATTCGGTTGTCCATGTCTGTCGTTCATCGCACCTTTGCCGGTGCAAATGCCTGTGGTTTTGACTCAATGGTAAATGTGGCAATGGACACCTTGCAGACATTCCACTCTGCTGCAAACGATGTCAAATGGTACGCACGGACACCGATTGTTGCGCAACAAACCGAATTTGTTGTGATATGGTTCATGATGTGACACAGCGATCCATCACTGCCATGCGCACGATGTGCCTGTCATCACGTGCAGTGGTGCAACGAGGTGGGTGCAATCAGTCCTGTCGGTTCGTTGTTTCCTCCTGCATCCAGCGGTTACAGATCCGCATCGCAGTTGCTTGGTTACGTCCCACACGATCACCGATTTCTTTGAAGGCAATCCCTATAGGCAACTATTCTTCTTCGGTCAAACTCAGAAACGTGGTCGAAAGATGCTCGTTTTCCTTTGCGTGGCATACTGAAGCTGCTTATGCCAAAAAAGCTCACAAAAGAACAATTCCAGTACTTCAAAATGGCCTTATATTCTCTCTTTATATAGCGCTTGCAGGTGGTGTAACAGCAACCCTTGATGCGCGTTTGTGCTGAAATGTTAATCATTTGTATATCACATTGCCACAAATGCATGGTGCAAATTTTACTTGATTTGGATGCTTCCTTCAGGGTATTGCATTTTGGATGGCCAGCAGTGTAAAATTTTCCTGAAAGATGGGTGGTTAGGTTGTCGTTTTGTTTTTACGTTAATAAGTGTAATAATGTAAAATTTCTTGGAAAGTTTAAAAGATTATTAAGTAGAACAATAAATGAAGCAAAAATAAGATGGATTTGAACAAAGAATTATTTTTTATCTTGAATTTATCTTACATTTGTTATTGTATTAAGATCAGTTATCAATAGTAAACATAAATAATCTAGAATATAAACATTAGAATTTATATTAAGATTAATACCAGTATTATAATTAGTTATGTATTTTTCTTAGTTTTTCTCTTTACTTATAGTGGAAGATGTTTGAGTTGTATCTTGCAAAGAAAACACGTACTAGTTTCAAAAAGTGTATTAGTGGAGAATTATTTCCTTCGTTAAAGCATTATATTTGAAGTTATTTGGTTTATGGAGTAACTAGTTGTATTTGATGAAACAATATCCACATATTTCTAGAGAAGGTTTATGTATTTTCCCATACTGTAGCGCCACCGTCACACCCCCATTAAGATAGTGCAAAAACTACAGAACTGCATAACTAGTATTGAGAATATAATTGATTTTGAAATTACTAATAGAAATTCGTTTCTAATGCCCGCTTTGTTAGTAATTGTAAGGGTTTTTATATATTAAATTATAAAGAGTGTTTTCAATCGTTTTTACACAAGTTTCAATTTTTTTCTAACGTAAAGAAAAGTGTACTACTTGCATTGCGGGGAAATATCTTTTAAAACTGATAAAAATTTAAAGTAAAATTTTAAAAATCTGAATTCTATTTTTTATTTTTTTTGTTTCTTGCAAATAATTGGCAAAATTGGCTCCTGTAATTTTACTAATATTTCACTGTTATTATCTATCAGGAAATATTTATATTACCATTTATATTCTATGATATTCCATGACTATTTTGTCTACTTTATGAATTACTAAATTAGTTAAAATATTCACAGAATATCATAGAATAAAGTCTAATGCAAAATTTATGGATTTTTGCCTAGTTTCTTCTACAAACTTGTATTTGCTAATATATTTTCATCAATTATTATTATAAAATCGTAGAATATTGATAGGACAGAATGCTACTTTTGGAGTATCCAGCTAATTTTTTGAATATCTTATTAAAAGTAAAGTCTATGATTACCAAGAAATGCTTAATTATAATAGTTTTGACTCTTATAATTATTTTTGAAGTTGTAAAGCGGGTGAAATTTTAATTCATTAATAAATTGTCACAAAACATTATGTCCTTAAAACAAATGTAGAGCCATTACAAACCTATATGCAAGTAATCATTCTGTATGGACTTTTGTGTTGTATGATGGCAAAGTTATTTATCTGTGAGGACCCAACGGATCCGAAAGGAGGTATTCCCCGGCTTTAAAAAACGTCACGTTTCACAACGCAAAAGGGTGAAATTAAAGATCTCAGTTAAACAATGGAAGATTTTTTTTTTTTGTAAAAGATTTAAAACAATAGCAAGATTAAAGTCGAGGAAAACGCGGCCGGAGAGGAGTCGTGTTCAGTCGCGAAGTTGACCTCTCCCGCGCCCTNTATTATTATAAAATCGTGGAATATTGATAGGAGAGAATGCTACCTTTGGAGTATCCAGCTAATTTTTTGAATATCTTATTAAAAGTAGTCTATGATTACCAAGAAATGCTTAATTATAATAGTTTTGACTCTTATAATTATTTTTGAAGTTGTAAAGTGGGTGAAATTTTAAATCATTAATAAATTGTCACAAAACATTATGTCCTTAAGACAAATGTAGAGCCATTACAAACCTATATGCAAGTAATCATTCTGTATGGACTTTTGTGTTGTATGATAGCAAAGTTATTTATCTGTGAGGACCCAACGGATTTGAAAGGAGGTATTCACTGGCTTTAAAAAACATCACGTTTCACAACGCAAAAGGGTGAAATTAAAGATCTCAGTTAAACAATGGAAGTTTTTTGTAAAAGATTTAAAACAATAGCAAGATTAAAGTCGAGGAAAACGCGGCCGGAGAGGAGCCGTGTTCAGTCGCGAAGTTGACCTCTCCCGCGCCCTTCATCGGGTCTCGAATTGTCACCAGGTGACGACGAGAGACCGATGGAGAGGCGACTGCGGTTGAAAAATCTATAAAACCGCGTTTTCAAGGACATTAAGAGTTCTTGGTCTCGAGTTCATAGCGCTCCTTTCACGGATTTTTGTGCTTCCGTCCCAAAATCAACGAAAACAGAGTCGACGGTTCGGAATTGACTTCGACTGTTGACCCGGAAGTTCGCCCAGGTGTTTCCCGACGACAACCATCCTTTCAAAGTATGCAGTGTGCCCCCGGGCCGACGCTCTCCGCATCATTTCACCGGCAGCTCAGCGTTCGTTTGGACAATTGAACTCTTTTTATTGTATGAACTGGTTCGCCCTTGGATAGGCCTTACGCCGATTGTTAAGAGTAGCTTTGTACTGCGACTTTCTCCGGCGTTATCGAGACAGCCATGACGAAGACTCAACAAAAAGTTTCTTAATTTCCTCGTTTTTCTTCAGAATTCCCATCAATGTTGTTCTTGTTTTGCAAATTCGGCTTGCAAAGTTTTATTACATTCAAATTCAGACACAAGTTCGTATTTTTCCTTCAGCGTAAGCGTTGTTAGCTTTCAGATATTTATTTCTAACAGACGTGCTACAAATAACGCGCGAATGAAAGNATGAGAACAATCATTTTAGTTATCAGTGTAGTTAAGATAAAAGTACTAAAAAGAAGATACTGTAAAAGCCAAAAAAAGTTTGAAGTTTCATTTTTTAGAATTTAGTAGATTAGTTTTCTTTTTAATCTGCGTTTTACTTTATCAATTTATTAATACAGTAGAGCGTCGTTTATCCGAATCAATTGGGGACTGGGGTTGTTTGGATAACTTATTTTTTAGATAACCAATTATGTATGAAAAAATATATTAACCTAGCCCACGTTGAAATTTTTCTCTGTTGTGTGTCGCTTCGCGTTGAATTTTTGTCGATGTTAAGCCTAACAAAAATTTTTATAATAATCGTGACTATTGTATCGTTAAAAATTATTTCTATATTTTGTACAAACAAAATAAATATATTGAAAAATATAAAAACCAAATATATATATATATATATACTTTAGAAGTTGATCTAGTATCAAAAACGTTCAATTCGGCACCCCACACAGTCCTTGGAAAAACACCACACAAAAGTGCCAGTGCTGCCAGCTAAAACACACACACCAACAAAAAAATATTGGAGTAGCCCAAGATATAGCCAAAGATTGCGACGCCACAGCACTAGCGAAAATTTAAATTTGCCGACTGGAATTCTTTCGGATAAACGACGCTCTACTGTATTAATAAATAAGTCGACTCCCCTCCTGAAAAAAATGAGTTCACACCACACAGCTTANTTTCTCCGTCGCGTGTCGCCTCGCGATGAATTTTCGTCAATGTTAAGCATAATGTAAACTTTTTAAAATAATAATCGTGGCTATTGTATCGTTAAAAATTATTTCTTTATTTTGTACAAACAAAATAAATATATTGAAAAATACAAAAACAAAAAAGAAATATATATATATATATACTTTAGAAGTTGATCTAGTATCAAAAACGTTCGATTCGGCACCATACACAGTCCTCGGAAAAACACCACACAAAAGTGCCAGTGCTGCCAGCTAAAACACACACCAACAAAAAAAATATTGGAGTAGCCCAATATATAGCCAAAGATTGCGACGCCACAGCACTAGCGAAAATTTAAGTTTGCCGACTGGAATTCTTTCGGATAAACGACGCCCCTACTGTATTAATAAATAAGTCGACTCCCCTCCTGAAAAACATGAGTTTACATCGCACGGTAAGCTGTGTGGTGTGAACTCATTTTTTTTTCAGGAGGGGAGTCGACTTATCAGACGTCTAAACGAGTGTGGGACAAAAAAAGCACGTCGATTTATCCAGNTTGATAAGTCGACTCCCCTCCTGAAAAAAATGAGTTCACACCACACAGCTTACCGTGCGATGTGAACTCATTTTTTTCAGGAGGGGAGTCGACTTATCAGACGTCTAAACGAGTGTTGGACAAAAAAAGCACGTCGATTTATCCAGTGGTGACGAGTTAAACGATGTCGAGTAAACCAGATTTTTTAACATTAATGCCTATATAAGTCGGTTGGGATCACAGAAAACTGACTACTTAAATTAACCGACGGTGTCTAGTTATACCTATGACGACTTATGCGGACTCGACTGTATTTAAAGTACTGCATGTATATACATACATACAGTATTATACATACATACATACATATACATACTGTATATAAAATATCGTTTCAATAGAGAATATTGCTCTTACGTATTTCTGATAGGTGATATATGGCTTCTATCGTAACAAACTTTGGCTATCCCTGCACTATAATTCCAATTTTTCTCGGTTTATTATAATTTATATTTAGTCACTTTGGAATTTAAATGTACAAATCAGAATTCTGACTTACNTTGTTTAGACGTCTGATAAGTCGACTCCCCTCCTGAAAAAAATGAGTTCACATCGCACGGTAAGCTGTGTGGTGTGAACTCATTTTTTTCAGGAGGGGAGTCGACTTATCAGACGTCTAAACGAGTGTGGGACAAAAAAAGCACGTCGATTTATCCAGTGGTGACGAGTTAAACGATGTCGAGTAAACCAGATTTTTTAACATTAATGCCTATGTAAGTCGGCTGGGACCACAGAAAACTGACTACTTAAATTAACCCACTGTGTCTAGTTATACCTATGACGACTTATGCGGACTCGACTGTATTTAAAATACTGCATGTATATACATACATACAGTATTTTACATACATACATATACATATATAAAATATCGTTTCAAATAGAGAATATTAATTACTCTTATGTATTTCTGATAGGTGATATATAGCTTCTATCTTAACATAGTTTGGCTATCCCTGCGCTATAATTCCAATTTTTCTCGGTTTATTATAATTTATATTTAGCCACTTTGGAATTTAAATGTGCAAATCAGAATTCTGACTTACAAATTTATAAATTAAAATTGATCACGACATTCCATAATATGTTTAACATTGGTTTTTAATACTGTTTTTATTCTACGATTGCATATATTTTGTATCAGATAGTTGTTTACTATTTATATTAATATATATATTTTAACTTTAACTAAAAATAACTTTTGTAAAATAGTCTTCCCCGAGAACTATCTATCACTATCATTTCACCGCTTGGCCCGATCACGGAGTTCCGTCCGACCCAGGTTGCGTTCTGAATTTCTTGCACGACGTTAACCATCGCCAAGAATCTATTCCCAATGCCGGTCCAATAGTTGTTCATTGCAGGTAATGTAGAAAATTAAAAAAGTTCCTTATTCGTTTATTTTTCGCGTAATTCATTTTTTGTTTATTAATTATTTTTATCAGTGCCGGCATAGGAAGGACGGGAACTTTCATTGTCATCGACATGATAGTGGACCAGATAAAAAAACAAGGTGAAATATTACTTTATTGAACCGATGTCAATGTGAATTCGTATATTACACAAATAGAAATTTGACTTATAGGCATAGACTGCGAAATCGATATTCAGAGGACGATACAGATGGTGAGAGCGCAGAGATCCGGAATGGTTCAAACGGAAGCGCAGTATAAATTTGTCTATCTTGCTGTCGAACATTATATGGAAACATTACAAAAACGAATGCAAGCGGAACAGGTAGACATTTTTTGAGTATTTTTTTTTTTCTTATTCAAATAGGATGTATTTACTGAGAAAATTTATTGGAGATATCAAAATTAAAGTTCGACTATAGTGACAATGGACATTTATGTACGTAAATTCATTCAATTTTAATGTTACATTTAAATTACACATACACAGCTATAATTTTAATGTAACATTAAAATTGAGTGTGATATATGAGATAGTTGAAAATTAGCAATACAAACTGAAAATATGATTTTGAATTTAAAAATATATGTTTGAAATAATAATACAGTATCTGCCATTTAATACAATCTTGTGTAATTTAAATTTGCTATAATGTAGTTGAGATGGTTAATTTTCAGTGAGCATACATTGTTACAAATTTTCTTCTTTTAACATAAATGTCAATGAGGTTTTTTTTTGCAATTAGCTGTACAGAAAAAAGTATGATGATAAAAATTTTATTTTGTGTTTCCTGATGAAGAAAAAGACAAAATTTCTTTTCACCAATTAAATGAATTGTANATGCAAGCGGAACAGGTAGACATTTTTTGAGTATTTTTTTTTTTCTTATTCAAATAGTATGTATGTACTGAGAAAATTTATTGGAGATATCAAAATTAAAGTTCGACTATAGTGACAATGGACATTTATGTACGTAAATTCATTCAATTTTAATGTTACATTTAAATTACACATACACAGCTATAATTTTAATGTAACATTAAAATTGGGTGTGATATATGAGATAGTTGAAAATTAGCAATACAAACTGAAAATATGATTTTGAATTTAAAAATATATGTTTGAAATAATAATACAGTATCTGCTATTTAATACAATCTTGTGTAATTTAAATTTGCTATAATGTGGTTGAGATGGTTAATTTTCAGTGAGCATACTTGTTACAAATTTTCTTCTTTTAACATAAATGTCAATGAGGTTTTTTTTTTTTGCAATTAGCTGTACAGAAAAAAGTATGATGATAAAAATTTTATTCCATGTTTCCTGATGAAGAAAAAGACAAAATTTCTTTTCACCAATTAAATGAATTGTAATGAAAAAAAGGAAAATACAATCAGTAAAAAATGAATAAAAATAAAACCATAAATGCTTAAAATTAATTATCATCTTCATTAAGTAATTTTAACTTTTCAAGAATTAAGAATTTTTTTTTAAAGTTAAAACTTATTGCTATACATTGTAGAAGATATTAACTGCGTGGCAATAGAAGCAGACCCGAAAGGTGCAACTACGGATGTCTAACGGAATTATTAAAATTCCACAATGAAGCTATTTGCCAACTCCGAGATATAAAGTGCAATGTTTTTGTTTAAAAAGAAGGATAATAAACCACAGAGTTGATTATTAAAGTTTGAGAAGCAGCTCTTCTATTCTGAACAAAGTGTGTGAATATTTTAAACAACACGACAATGATTTTTTATAAGTTGAAACTGTAAAAACAAGTTATTACAATTTAATGCAAATTTATAGATGAAGTGGACGAAGATGGTAGTGGCAAAGTGCTTTGGATTGTTTTATTGTTAAAAAGTAATTTATATGCTTGCCTGGAATCATTAAATATTTTTAGTGAAAGATTTGTAAAGCTATTAATAATACAGCTTTGTGTAACAAATAGAAATTAACAGAGTACTTAAAAGTTAATGAGTACATCATATAAAGATAGTTTATTTCTCTGCTTGGCAAGGAAATTTGCTTAAAGCACTTCTCTGCATTAAATGGTAGATTTAACGCATGGATTATCATTTCTTTACTTGGATTTTACATATAACTTAAAAATATTGAAATTTATAGATTTATCTAATTGACAGTTGTTAGTGTAGGAAACACTACATTGGATATCAAGAAACATAAAACCATCTAGAAACAATACAAAATCATTGAATGAATTTCTCAATGGGCATTTCTATTGTTTAAAATATGAAACTATTAATTTTCTATAAGATTAATATTATTTTTATAGTATGACTATTAATTTTTCATATGTAGCAAAATTTCAGGGCTTATTTCATATGTTTCTAGTGATTACAATACAAGGAATGTGAAGTGACATTTTCTTCTTTACTTTTGAGAATTTAATAATCCATGTTGTTGTTTTTCAACTACTGCGTATAATTATAGAATTTAGAAAATGTTGTGAAATGGCAAGAAACAATCTTTCACAAAAGTTGGAAGCATAATATTTTTACAATGTCTTGGATAATATATAACAAATAAGTGTACATTGTAATTTATATAATTTATAACAATGTTGAGATGTAAAGATTAGATTAAACTTGAGTGAATGAGTGAAGTAGCATTGAAAGATAACCATCAATATTCAGATTACTCCCAGCTAAGTGTAATAAACTTAGTTGCTGTATTAAAGGTAAATAGGCTTAGATAATTAATTATTAATTCTTCCCCGTAGCATAATATAAAGAGAATTACATATGTAGAGTTTGAGTGGTAGAGATGGAGTAAGGAGATCGTTGAAATTATTTATTAGGAAAAGTGCTAATTAAGATTTGAGAAGATTTAGCTAATAGTAGGATAGACTGGAAAGATACGAATAACAAAAATTGATTTCACTTGAACGAGGTAAGTGACATTGGTAATGACTGTGAACATAAAATTTATAAGTGATAGAAATATCGGGTGTTTGACTTGAAAGTACCAAATTTTAATTTGCCATAAAAAATGAATGGTTTACAATTTGTAAAAGCAACAAGTGGCATCTGGTGGGAAAACTTGTCAAGTTTTGTAAAGATTTTTTTTGTACTGCAGGACGGTGCAGAAGTCGAATCGTGAGTATTATTGTCTAATTGTGGCTTTGCCACAGGAGAAAATGCAGGTTGTGGTCTGGTATGCCCAATAGCGTGGTTATCAAGATCTCCTGATCTGGATTTCTTTCTGTGAAATTACACGAAAGATACGGTTTATGCAACTTTTGTCAGAGACCTTCGGGAGTGCATCATTCCAGCCATTGGCACTGTAAGAGAGGATACGCTGCAGCATACATAGCAGGAAATTGCCTAGTGCCTTGATGTTGTCACTGTGACTGTTGGAGTGTGCGTACAGATGTGGTAATATTTTCAATGAAATTTGGTGAGTTTTTTCTCACATAAAATCTTTGATGAACTTATATCTTTAACCATTAATTTTTTATAGCCAAATTAAAGTGGGTGCTTTTGAGCAGAACACCCTGTATTTTCAAGGCATTAGTGTACACATTGAAATAAATTGTAATGAATTAATCACAAAAAAAATTTAAAAATATATTTTTTTAATGTAATGCGAGTGATATTTTTATAATCAAAATAAATGTAAAATTTTTAACACGCTTGCATGATATAATTAGTTTCATATTCAAATCCAAAAATAATTTCACATGTTTTTTTTTATTAAAAAATGATCAGATATAAATATATAATGATAATTTAGATTTCTAATGAAAATTTTGAATGCAATTAAAAATAATTTAATAGATAAAAATATAATAATGAATATTACTTTATACTAATTTATGTATTTCTGCATTTAGCTATACGTGCTAAGTGATATAATTTGGGATAAATAAAATACTAACAACAATTTATCCAATTTTTTACAGTTAAAAAAATTAATTAAATATAAATAGTAGACATTCAATATTCTTTCATTCTTCAATCATAAATATCATATTAAAGCATCTGCATTATAAAATTATGTTAGAGTTTGTGATAAGGGCTGCGGTGAATGACTACAGACAATGGGACTAATCTCCTTAGATCCCTCTATCCCTTTTGATGTAATGAGTGTTGCATTAGGAGATATTACATCCACTTTTTTCTGTTATATATTTTTTCCTTTATGCATTTAAAATTACGTAAATGGAATTTTTAGACTATAATTAAAATTTTATTACACAGATTTTAATCTCAGCCCCACATCTGCATTTGCAGCTTTCCTTCCCTCTTGTTGGCCCTGAATGTGATTATAAAAATTCATCAAATGATAAATTCTATAATTGTGTAAATCAGTTTGTTTACTTGTTTTTTGATTAAGTAATGAAATTCAAACTTTGAGTTAAAAGTTATTTCAGAACTTATAGATAAAAACTCAAATATTGTGTGTTAAATATTGTGTGTAAAAAGTGTGTGTTAAGTTCACCTTCAATTTTGCAATTATTAAGTCAAGCAATCAACTCAAAGTTTTTCATTATTTGAAAAATGTACTCAGAAAAGCATAAAAATAAATTTTACAAGTCACGATCATAAGTAAAATAACTTTAATTATGGTGTTTGATGAATAGTTTTATTTGTGAATAAGAAATTTCTTAAGGAAGAATGGGTAATAACACTTCGTTAATGAATATGATAATAATTATGAAATTCCATTTTCATATTCTAGAAAAGTATACAGCTAGGAAGAGAATACACAAATATAAAATACACGAATGAAGATGCCGGAGGAGATTTGACCAAAACACTTTCCTGTTCTACCGTTTCGTTAACTCCGAGCCCGAGTAGCCCGACGCTTCTGCCTCGTGACTCGGATATCAAGAAGCCCCTCGTACCGCCTAGACCTAATATCGAATCGTTAATTCCAAGGTATGTTTTTATAATTTAGAGTATTTTTGAGATTTATATTTATTCTTATATTTTAAAAAATGTTTAAATTTAATATTCTAATAGTATGAAAACATTTCCAAGACCACCCGGAGAATCTCTTCGACAAATTTACGAAAATATTCCCTTAAAAGAAAAGACGCCCATTTACGGTTATTTTAATATCGGTCCCCCTCCGTCGGTGGCACCTCCGCCGCCGCCGCCGAGAAAATCGTGACAATAAATTGGTTAAGAAGTTTAGGAAAAAGTTTGGAATGTAATTAATATTTTTTAGATGATGTTAATACTAATTAAATTACTTAAATGATGATTTTAAATACTTTTTTATTAGCAAATAGCTTAAAAGAGGACATTGAAGATTTTTTAATAGAAGATGTAACAACTGTATGAATGTTTGTTAGAGAAAATGCCAACATTTTATAATTTAAATGTGCCAATTTTAATCTTTTTTGGTGTTTTGTCAAACCCAAGGCACACCTGTTGACTGAATTGAAAAATGTCTATCATCCAGTTGATTGCTATTTAAATATATAAAATGGTTATTGTTTATTTTATTGAATGATTTGCCATTTCCTATGTATACGTACAGGAAATGCGGCACAATTTTTAAATTTTAAAGAGCCATATTTATATATAGTACGATAATTTTTACTTTGAAGATTGTGCCAAATCGCTTGCGGAAGTCGTCGGAGTTCGGAACCGCTCTTCACCATCCGAACGGTCTTTTTATATTTGTTATATATTCTGCGAGCGATGTAAGTTTATGGACCACTTTTTTTGTATATGACAGATTATCTAGTATATTATTAATTTTTGTGATTTATGAAATAATCAAATAAAGAGGATTGTTATAATTGTTGATATTGCTCAGTCACGTGTGCAAGATCCTATGAGCCAATGTTAACAATCCATGAAGATTTAAAATAAAAATGAACTTAATAAGTGAAAAATGACAATAAAAAATTGATTTCTTTATTATCCAGAGTTATCTTCCTCTTTCTTTGACAAGAAATAGATTTTGTAATTAATGTTTTTAACATATATAATGACGCAAAAATTACAACAGATACTCTACCATGTGTTATTTAGCACATGTGAAAGGTTTCATGGCTTTTTCAAAGTTTAGATAAATTTAACCATTACAATTTCCATACAAAGAGGAATATTTTTATAGTTTACATCCACAGTTCATTTAGGAAATACAAATAACAACTACTACTAAAATTTACAGTTTGATAAGCATTTTTATCTGTGACATAGTCTTCAGATATTGTATCCTACAACCTGTGCATTTCAGACTGGATTTACACTAAGCTAAACAAGATACAGCTTGGGATTTCATACTGCAAGACTACAGTTTAATAAATTTAAAAGTGAAAAACCTTTAGTAGAAAGAAGAAAGACCTCTTATATATTATAGCTTAGGATCACAACAAGTCTAAATCCAGTGTGTGCACTCATACAGTTAATTTGATATCATAAGTTTCTTTTAGACCAATAATTCAGTAAAGAAGGAATGAGGCACAAGTCTGTATCACAGATGAAAATGCTTTCAGTACCACATATCAAAAATTCACGAATTTAAATAGTGCCAATTGTTTTTGTTTGCCATTCAGATACTTAAACTGTGGCTTGAGACTTGATATCCATACAATTAGTTTCCAGTTGACAAAGAATCATTATCTTGATAGTTGTTTACCGATACACACACGACAGTTACATACTCAACATCACATATGCCAATTTGAACACAATTATGTACATATTAAATTAGGAATTAAATTACATTACGCACAGATGTGTGTGTGTATATATATAAATTTAAACTCCCACTAACAATCCACTAACTTGCGAATTAGCTAGTACCTTCAACATAAACTGCGAGTTGTTATCGACATAGATGGAGACATATTGTCCCTCCTGGAATAAATTCAATTGGAATAAATGTATTCTCCTCCTCATAAATACTAAAAGCGTAAAAGATACTAACCTCCAGGAACAAAACTCCGGTCACGAGGATGGAGAACTGATGCCTTCCGCAGTCCAGACTCGCCGACGACTCCAGAGCCCTAGAAACATTTAATTGAAATTTTATTGCCAGAAACAACTTTCCTAAAGAACTTAGAAGTGGGCAAAACTTACACGTTCTTCTGACAGAGCGATTCTATGCAGACCAGCGCGGTTATACCGTCTTGAGGATGAATTAATTTACTACTGTCCGCGATCACTTTGTGCTGGACGTGAAGGTTAACGGTAAAGCCGTATAATCCATTAATGGGCGCAGTAAATCTGCCATGCTTGGCATTGCTTCCTTCTCCCCGTTCGAAACCACCGACTGCAAAGGGCTGTAAAAAATTGATGGTTATAACTAGGTAAAGTTTAATGTTCTAAGGATGAAAATCGATTGTTCAAATAAGTTTCTAGTGGAGAGGGAAGCCCACATTTTAGAATTTACGGCTCCAGATGCTTGTTTTACAGTTTTATTCTGTTCTTGGCTATTTTTTCTAGTCTTATTTTGTTGTTTAAGCCGCTTTTGAGCAGCGAGTTTTCTGTGTTTAGGTGGAAAATTAATATAAAAGATCTTACTCGATGAAAGTTCTTCAATTCGACAAACGATCTCTTTGGTATCATCGTATCTTGAGTCAATCTCCATAGGAAAGCGGAAGTGATGCGAGGAACAATAGCTGCCTGATCGATGTCGAAGAGGGGCGGTAGATAGGGGCCCGTCACGTTACCCTGTGGCAAAGTATCGTGTTACTGCGATGTAACGCGTCATACGTCGAAAGCATAAATCAAATAAAAAAGTTCCTCCCTACCTTGGGATCGAAAGTTTGATACACTTTCCTCTCGGCTATTTCTAGGGTGAGAAAACCTCGCGTGAGATAGAAAATATTAGTGATTTTGTAGCGAAACCGAAACTAACCTCTCACTAATTCCTTGAATTCTTGCATCAGTTCGTCTTTGGTGATGTTTGCGCCAGGTGGCCCTCTCGGTCCCGGTGGTCCCGGTGGTCCTTGCGGCCCTTGCTAAGCGAAAAACACTAGATATCCCCCTTCTGTTCCTAAAAAGTAGCGCATTATTCAGGTACTTACCATAGGTTTCCTGGTAGACTTAAATCGTCTCCTCATCTTTCTTCTTCTCTGATCCGATCTCTCTGCGTGTCTTAAGAACGATTGCCATGTCCATCGAGGATCGAACACCTTAAACATTCAAATTTAATCGTAGAATTCGTCACACTTAGGTACAGTAATTTTCTACGTCACTCGGGCAATTTTAAGTAAAGTTAGTGGTTAGAGTGCAGAATATATTAAACACGGCTCAATTTTTCGCTAAAATTTAGGTACTTTTTATACATTTTTACTTGGGGAAATGCTTCCCCCTCCTGTAAATTAAATCCAGAAGAAAAAATAAAGTAATAAAACTTTTTTAATATATATGTTTTATAAGGCCAATTAGTGCTGCTTTTTGTAATTTAATTTTTCAATTTTAATTATTGCTTTTATGTACTTGAAACGGTACTTAAATCGAAAATCGATACTCCCCTACGGGGGAAGGAACACTTTTCAAAAAGTTTAAAAATGTTTAACAAGATTTAGCAAGGAGACTTTTTTCTAATTTATCAAAGAAACAAAAAATAAAGTAGTTTCTCGGTTAAGTCCCTTTTTACAAACGTAGCGAAGTTGTAATGCATCTCAGCTTTGTTCTCCCAGTTTTTTCTGTCTGAAATTATTTTTCTGATGATTCTGAACTTCGAATTATTATTTTTTAAAGTAATTTTGGTGATTTGCTCCAGTAAATCGAGGATGGAGCAATTCTCGAGGGGGTAGCGCAGCAATTGGCAAGATTTAGATACAATTTCTCAGCCGAAAAGTCGAAGGAACGTAACTGTTTCCTATAGAAGCGGCTTAACACAATACTTTTCCGTTATATTTTACAAAATACACGAGAAATTATAATCTCCCCTCCAGAAAAAACACAAACAAACTTATTTTAATAATCTTTCATCTTGCTTAATTACGTACAGCGGCACGGTAATAAGATTAAGTGTAGTCTCTCGAGAAAGAGGATTAGAGGAGAGAGATACTCTGTGCACGAGCAAACGGAGTCTCCTCCATAATTTTCGTCTCACAATTAGATTTAATAAACATCCAACTCCCTTCCTGATCTTCTTAGTCAAAAGGATGATGAGAAATTCCCATCAGTGTAGTGCAGAGCGCGGTACAGATAGTCACTCTCCATTCAATCGGTAATAAATCACTGTTATAAAAACAGCATTTGCTATATAATTCGAGAGCTGAGTCACGCGTTCGGTAATTCTCACGTTGGGAGCTGGTGGGCCACGTGGTGACTCTTTTGTTTAGGATAAAGGGGGTGGTTTTTTTAAAACCGTCGCCTTTAAGCAGATGTTTATATAATCTTTGTCGAGTGTCTGGAACCGTTCGGTTTTGGCGCTAGGAAAAATCATCTCGAGCCCAGTTTCCATTCATTTTAACCATTACCGTTCCCTTTAGGGAAATTACTGTCCATCCCGCGTAATTTCCCTAAAGGGAAACGTTTGACCCGTCACTTTCGTTGGGGGTTGCAAACGAATCGCTCATAATCCTGCGAAATGTTAATGAAAACCGCAGCAGCGCTTTTAATTTCTTGATAGGAGGATGCATTTTGCTAATTACCCCCCTCGTCGCTATTTCATCTTGGCAAATTACCGTTCCGAGTAACTTCCCTCTCCCCTACAGTAACTTTTTCCCTCCCTTCCTCTATTCTTACTTTCCATAAAAGAGCACAGACCTCATATTTAATTCATGCGATTCTGATCGCTTTTCTATGTAGATAAGTGTGCCGCACAATATGCTAGACAGCACCATTTTCGAGAATAATAATGAACAGGGACGATTTCTTACCTCGTGTTAGTACAATTGACCATCGTCGATCTGATCGAATGCAATATTAAAGTAAGAATTTAATCTGGAGAACGGAATAAACTTTACGGTGTTTCAGTCGAGAAGTTATACGAGAACACGATATTTTGTTCCGGAATTTTAAATCTAGAATATTTTATTAGTGATATACCAGCTCTTCTTTCGTTTTCCTGCTAGAAACTGAAATAATTGAGTAAATAGCCCCGTTTCACGTTGATAGGTGAAAAAATAATAATAGAAATATTGTTTTCCGTCATTCTAGCTCTAGGAACAAGAATAATTAACGGAACATTTTGCTTCGCGTGGAAAAATGGGTGTTGGAAATTCCATTTTCGTTAGCTACAAACAGAAACTAGTTGTAGAAATCATCAGAAATTTCGTTCGACGAATTTTTTATTGTTTCACACGCGTTTCTCTAGAAACAGTAGTGGATTTGTAAAATAATTGAGTTACTTGTTTGGGCAATTTCAAGTTTATGTTTCACGAATTGTTAAGTAAAGCAACAGTTCTTTTTTGTTTCTCCCCTCAACAATTCGAATTAGGAGATTCTTCTGTCTAAATCACAGCCAATCAACCTACTAATTTTTCCTCTTTCTGTTTCTTTACTTAATAATTTATCTTCCTGTTCTCTGTTTAATAATTTCTTTTAGAAAATAAACAAATTTTCTGACAGAAACAGAGTAAAATTGCTAACGAAAAAAAGCGCATGTAAAATCGTAGTAAAACTGAAATTTCACTTTTACCACGTTTTTACAATTAAAACAACGTTCTGTTCCTTGTTTGTTTCCATTGTAACTGTACAACTGTTTCATTTCTAACGCAACATAAACTAAATTAGGAACAATACTTATCCACATTACTTTTCTAAGACACTAAAGAAACAATTTCAGAGACACTAAAGAAAACAATACAAACACAACAATTTCTTTGAGAGCGCGAAAGGTGACGAAACTTCGAAGGGGTTAGAGTAATTTGCGTGACTTTTGTACGAAGTAAATTGCTTTTTTAACTTAATTTTTCTCTTGTTTTTTTAGAGCAACGGGAGGGTAAAATTAGATAAGACACTAGAGAAAGTTGGATCGAGAAAAGTTGTAGTAGCGTAACAGGAGGCAAAGTTCGTGCAAAATTGATAGATTTTACAAGAGGAAGTTGGAAAATGCTTTCTAAATTTAGAAGGCAACGCTTTACTTTACTTGTTTGCATCGAACTTAAACACTCGTCTTTCCCTTTCCTCCAAAATACGCCGTTACGCACAGAATAAATTTTAAATTAAGTTAACGCTTACCGATCTTTGTGTGTGAACAATATCTTTTCCCTTCTCCTCCACTTCTCTGGTCAGGAACAACAAGTGGGAAATTAACAGAGCGATAAGCACTCCCCTCATCTCGTTCACCTTCTCCCCAACTGATGCAGCTTTCCCACTTCAAATAAACGTTACCGCTACTCACGTGATCGAACCCACCAATCGCTCTCTTTGCCGGTGGATTCGTCACGGTTACGTAGTTTTTGTGACGGGATGCCGTTTTCTTCTTTTTTCTCTCTCTTTCTGTTAAAGTCCTGGGGAAAATTTATTTGCGGATTCATTCGAACGAATTCGTTCGATTTCGCATCGATTGTTATTTGTATATTTTAAAGCTTGACATACGCAATTCGTGTTAACGGCTCCATTAAAGTGACGTAAAAAGAGAATTTGTGTGACGCCACCCGTCGAAATCGTCACGACGTCGACGTGACGAAACGGATTAGCGGGTTTATTTTTATCGATAGTTTAAGCCCGGCAACACGCTGTAATTCGTACATTTTTTATTCGATGCCGTATCGAATTTGCCTCCATTAAACGTCACCGAATCAAATTCTGTACCAAAGTATTTGCATATTTTCAGAGTTTCATTTAACTGCAGCAGCTACGCGCTATAAACGCTCGTCTCTGTGTACACATTAGCGCGTTACGCATCGTCTGAATAGTAATCCATACGAGTAATTGCAGCGCAAATACTAGTATTTATCTTCTACGTACGTTCGTACGCGTTGCATATAATACACGTCAGCACACGCATCATAGTAGTATCATCATTCTGAGCATATACACTGTAATTACAGTATATATGCGTAACACGTATACTTTTCAAGTACACAGCGCGTATACGCTCTACATATTTCCACGTTACGCGTCACGCGGAGCATTAAACGATTCTTTCGCATACGAGAATAATATAACATAAGAAACGTGTTCCCAACGTAACATTTGTATACTTTTATGCAAAAGACGTACGAAATATTTGCAAAAATCAAGACGGAATCGATGGTAAGATATAATTTCTGTATAAAAGTTTAATGCACATACGTAACATATACACTCGCATACGCTCGTATGTGCCGCGTATATAGGCCTATTATACATAACGCGTTACACATTTATAGAGAAACGTTACGATTGTGGTATTTATGAGAATAGCGTAACGGTAGGAAGCATTCTTACCGTTACGCTACGAGAGAGACGCCATAAGAGAAACACGCGAAATGTGTGCAAAAATCAATATAGAATCGACTACAGGATGTAAACATAAATATAATATCAAGGATACACTGGCGTATTTACACCTTTAGGTGGACGCCATATTGATTTCGATGCGTCTACTCGTGACGTAAGCTATAACGGTAGAGATTTGGCGGAGAAGCCGAAGGCGCGTGCGTGTGTATAGATTTGGATCATTAAAATCGAATTATCCGCTATTTCGAAAGAAAATGCCATTTTTATTATCCTTTCAATTTTCTATTAAATTTACGATCTGGAACACAATAATCTGCTTAGGCCGCGATATTTTCCTTCTATGGTGGAGGATAATGCTGTTCTAGATGCGCATATTTATCATCCAGGTACGAGCCTCTTAGATAGAAAATACCTAAATCCTCTTCCAATTTATGTAAATGTAAATATTTTTCGCTAGAAAATGCTTCCTCGACACTCGAAATAATGGCAGTCATTTAAATTTTTTAACTATTAATTCTGCCATCTTTCGTACAGACGACACACAGATGCGCTTTATACTTTCATTTTCGAATATTTCAAACGTTGCTCCATGCCGAATGCCGCCGTCGTTTCGTCCGAGAAAACAAACCGCTCTCCGATTGGTTTAAATCTACGTCAATCACCGCGCGGATTACGATGCGTAACTTTTGGTAGACGAACCGAGGTAGAGAGCGAACTTCTAATTGGTCGAATTTCGATTTTTTTAGGAACCGTTTTTAAAATCTTCGCAATCTTAAGGTTAACGAGTGCACATTTTACACAAATTTGACGTCAGAAAATTCGTACAAAATTGAAGAGACGATGAGAAGTTGACGTAAGGTGACCAGCCAGAATCTCCATATCAGAGAAGGAAAGAAGAAGAAGTTGACGTAAAAGCGCGCGCGCGTATGTCGCGGCAGCGCCGTTCCGTGGGCATTTTTGGAACCTAGGAGTCGAGTATGGCGGAAGTTTAAATAATACGAATCAAATAATAAATTAGGTTTGGCTTTGAAATAGTAAATTTCGAATTTCATAAAATTGAGTCAGGATATTGTTTTAATATCCTGACTCAATTTTGTCAATTGTAAAAGAATCTAGCCCATAAATAGGACCATCGAGCTTGAACAAAGGCTATGAAACGATACCCCGAGCCGAACTAAATAATTTTCATATATTTTTTAAAACTAAGAAAAAAAAAAGCTTTTATTGGCTGTTTTTAGACTGGGGCTGAATTAAAATGCGGACTTAGGAATATCCTCAAAGTTTGCTTCGTATCATAATTAATTAGAAGTGGATGAAATTTAAGTTGCGAGATTTAAGAACACGCTGCAAAGTAAATTAAATAAAAGCGTTTAATGAAAACGAAATAAAATGGATTAGAATTTCATCCGAGAAAGCACCGAGACGTTCGACAAGTTCCCACGAGTAGTATAACTGGCCGCGCGCTCCCAAGAACGAATGTAAACGATTCTCCGTATTCTGTAAAAATAGTGACGCGTTTAACGTCACAGAAATTTAAATTTTTAGCGTATATTTCACAAGAAACCAGTTTCGTCGTTATATCTTTTCCGTGGAAGAAATAATGCGAGCGGAAAGATGATTTCTGTCTGTCCACACTCCATTTTTCACCAAGTGTATGCTACATATTTTTCCATCGTTTCCTGGCTGCTAGGTGTTTTATCCATGCTATAAAATAAATAAGTACAGTAGTAACAATCTTTTTTAGACATCAGAAAAAAATTTTAAATCATTTTGCCAAATTTTAATTACTTCATCCTATTAACTGCTCGAAACCATTTTCTCTTTGATAAGAATGCCTCGGTCCTAATGGAAAGGAAACAAATTTTGTTCCTTCGGGATACTTATTGTCGGGGCATCCGATCACGCTACAGTTTGTATTTATACTAAGCGTTCTTATTTTTGTTTTTATTTTAAAACGATTCGATGCTAGTAAAACTTAGCTAACAATTATTTACGTACGCACAAGTACGCTCCTATACTGTATTAGTTTCCTCTAACCACCGAGTTGGCGCAACAGTCTGTCGCGCGCGGTACTAGAGGGCCTATAACGAGAGTGGCCGTAAAAGAACCGCCTTACTATTGGCTGTTGGTGATCGCGTGACCTCGAGCCTCCATTATTCTTCCAAACAACTTGTTAGCCAGATTGGAACCGAAGCTTCGTGGATAAATTTTATCGTCTCTACGTTCGTTGACCGCAAACAAATTAAAATGAATCGAAGGTTAGTGATATTAAGAATATATAGACAATATTTCCGATGACGATATACTGTTTATTTGTATTAATCTTAAGTTTTTGAGTTTGATGCCAGTTGCTATATACAGTACTGATATTTGTTAGTTCAGTAAGAAGTTATTGTCTAGTTTAACTTATTTACAATTAAATAATTCTTAGAGTATGACTGGATGAGCAACGAGAAAGGATTTTTGATGAAAGCTTTACCGAAAGAAACTTTGGGAAAGAAAAAGTGAAAAGAGAAAACTGGAAAACAACCGACAGTAACTATTTATTAGGGGCAGTAAGTAAATGGGAAAAAAGTAAGTAAACTGTTTATTATTTCAAAAGTAATTGCCATAACTGTTAATACATTTATCCCACTATGAGACAAGACGATCAATGTCTTCATAGAAAAATATTTGCGATTGCCTACGGAACCACGATTGTACCCAGGCGTGCACTTTTTCGTCCGAAGCAAATTGACGGCCACGAATGTCTTTCTTCGAGGCTCCAAAAATATGGAAATCTCACGGGGAGAAATCGGGACTGTATGGAGGATGCGTATGGACTACGCTGCAGAAGTTCCCAGCGAAACTTCTGCAGCGTAGTCAAAACAACCTCGGTAACATGTAGGTGGGCATTATCGTGCAACAGAATGATGCTGTCTGTCAACATTCTGGGTGTTTGGATTTGATGGTGGCACGCTTCAATTTTTGCAAATTTTCTATGTACCGCTGTGCGTTAATTCTGGCGCCGTATTCCGGAAAGTCAACGAGCGGCGGACCTCCGTAGTGATGTTGGACGCACACGCGACTCGCCGACCTCACTTCGAGCGCGTCTAACAGACAAATGGCGCAGCGGTGAACGTTCACGCTGTTCCTTCCTGATTCCCAATAAAGGGCACTTCTATATACACACCTACCTGCATCACCAACTTCCGTGCCACACTTATTATATAGTTTGTCTCGTTTTCATTTGACTGCCCCTAATATGTGAGGTAAGCGAAGTATTAACGATTACTGTACCTATGTATGTACAAGTTTTATTTTATATTCGGATGATGTATTTATTCATCAAACAGATCAAATTGCTTAAAATTTAAATTAAAAAATCAGTATACATAAATTAATGAGTATTGATATAGTTTAACATTTATAATATGTGATATACAATATCTGATTCGAAAGTCCTTAATTATACAAATCTATTTTATTTTAATGAAAAGTATTGTAAATTACAGTAGATTTGTAATTTAATAAAACATATAAAGTAGAATTTGATATTGAATTGATTGGTGAATAAACAAATATACAGTAGACCCCTATAACACGGGTTCCTATAGTTCGGATTCCTATATCACGGCGAAAAAATTGCGACAGTGTTCGTACAAACATGCTAAAAAACTTTTATAATTCGGTAAAACGTCGTGTCGCGACAGAATTGATCAAATCTGGACCAATAGTGGACGGGCAGCCGAACTACTTTTCGCCGTCCAGCGCCACGCTACGGAGAGTTTAGGCGGGTAAGTTGAGTTTAGTATCGTCTGTACAGTATATAAATTAGGTACTGAAATTAAACAAAATTAACAAATTAATTAATAAATCAATATTAATATTAATTATCAATAAAATTAATAAATTAAACAAAAGTTTAATACAGTACTGTAATTTTATAATTTTTACGTTATCTAAAATTTTGTCTTTAGTCATCATGACCGCTGCCATGGAGAAGAATTCTAATGTATATCCCTTGAAGAAAAAGTTAAAATTTTGTATCGGTTAAAATCTGGTTAGAAAGTAATAGTCATTGCTAAAGATTTAAAATTAAACGAGGCAACAATTCGATCAATAAAAAAAATGAAAACAAAATAAGGGCTAGAATTTCCTCTGGATCTTCAATTTTTCGCAGAAAAATAACTTATCAGAAAACTTCCGTCATTGCTTAAGCTTGTTTTCGTCACGGAGCGCCGCTCCACGACGAAAACAAGCTTAAGCAATGGCGTCGTCGAACGGTACACACTCGGTAAGTAATCCTACAATTTCTTGTCTATAGCATAGTTTATATGGATTATTCCCAAAAAAATTATACGTATTTTGGAAATGTTGAGTCAAATTAATCTAGAATCGATTAATTTTATGGAAGAAAACCTTTCAAACAGCCGTAGTCCCTAAACTGCACACGTGTCGGGCTGTGATTGGCTCGTGTATTTAAGTGACTCGTACAACACGGAAATCACATAACACGGAACGTATCTACCGTGTTATAGGGGGGCGACTGTATTTTAATTATACAGTATTTGTCATAAGCTACGTATAATAAATTATTATTGTAGTTTAATAAAAAACAATACAGTCGACCCCCCTATAAGATCATAGATACGTTCCATTATTTAGGAATCCGATTTCTTACGAGTCCTTCCAATCACAGCCCGACACGTGTGAAGTTTACGGACTACGGCTGATTGAAAGGTTTTCTTCCATAAAATTAATCGATTCTAGACTAAT